GTGGAAGGTGATGCAGGTGTTGCTCTGTTTGGTGGCAGTTGTGAGTGCCGAGGGTTCTTTGTTGATTCTAATATGCAAACGGATGCTCAACCACGGGTATTTACGCTGCAAATTCGTCAATGTACCGCCCCTGCAACGATCAGATAGCTGTAACTTGCCAGGTGGTGATTGCCCTGACACTGCGTATCCACCTGCGTACGGTGATCTTGCGTACGCAAGGAGGTACTCGTTCACCGATCCGCCGCGCGTCAAGAGATTTTGGGAAGCTTTTTGGCTCAAGGTGCTGTATTTCGACTCGAACCATATTCATCAGCGATTGAAGTTCTTCTGTTCTCCAGCTCCCAAGTACCCCAAAAGTCTAGAACTTGACGAACTTTGTGTTTTTTGTTTGGGCTGTTCCCTATCTCGGGATCCCGTGTCACCAGGCATCTCAATTGCAAGAACCATCGTAAACCACTTTGGTTGGGCCATTCTTTCCAATCATGGCGGAGCCGCTCTTGTCCAATGAGCTGCCAGACAACGTGGTCTATCGGAACTTGCTGCTGAGTCATGGCATTACAAGGCCTTGGGCGAAGGGTATCAAAGGCCAAGTGTGAATCAGTTTCTTATACACCTATAGTAGTGGGTGAGAACCAAAGCAGACATTGTCAAACTGTGTTTGTGTTGGCTGTTGCCATTCATTGATAGGTGTAGTTGGGTGATCCACATGCAGAGGTGATGCAAACATGTATTTACTTTTTGATCCGGGATCCGACAAAAACAGGAAGTCCGTTTTCACAAGGTGTCCGTTAGGTGTCCTACTTCAGAAAATTGCAAGGACTTCCTTTAGCTGAAACGTGTTTGTGAGTCAATTATTGATTTCCTAGCTGTTGAGTCGTGCTCCAAAGTCTGCTCTCCCAGCACAGGCTGGCAACCCAGGGCTGGCTCTTCATTGCGCCGTTGGTCTTGGTGCGCTTCACGCCCGGTCGGCTCATAGGCTTTCTGGGGCGGGTGATAGAGCTTGGAAGACTTCGGGTGATGTGATGGAGAAAGATGAGTTGTTTTGGAGTTTGGATGCGATGGCCTCCAGCCTAATAGCGATGGCCTCCGACCTACTAGCGATGGCCTCCAACCTACTAGGGATGGCCTCCAACCTTGTAGCTATGCTTTTCGGGCAGACTCAGATGTTTTTGCTGTTGCAGGTTTTTGTGATGCATGCTATGTGTCAAGTACACTTGGATTTCCCTTGAGAGCCATGCAAATGGCTGGCGGTTCACTCCTTTCAATAGTTCATCGTTGGCCGCAGCAAGCTCACGTTCTATGGACAATGGAGGGATGCCATTTCCACAGGTGCCCATCTTCAAAAGACTCTTGCAAGTGTTACATGAGTGAGTCGCAGTGTCAATGACCTTGAACCCTGTTATGGAATGACCCGTGCAAATACGAACAATATATATATATTTTTTTTTAATATAGCAATAAACTTGGAGAGTGAGGGCGCTTTTCTTCGAATCAACACAGACTTCTCCACAACCGGACGTCGCGCCTCGCTCGAGGCCCAGCGGTCTGGGGCCTCGTGACGATGCTCGGCTCGGCGCTGCTGGCGCCGCCTCTGGGCGCCTGGGCGGACCAGACGGACCGCCGCTGGGTGGTGACGCTGGGCGTCAGCGCACAGGTGCGGGGTGCGGTGCGTGGTGCGGAGCGCGCGGGGGTGTGGTGGATGGAGATGTTGGATGAGAGGTGTCGGGTGAAAGAAGAGTTCGATGTGTCATCGCGAGGCGGCAAGTTTTTGATGTGATGCTGTGCGTCCGAACTCGTGCATCCAGACCTCCCAGGCAACGATCCCCCTGGGTTCAGTTCAAGACATATTTTGACTAAGCCAGGTTGGACGTCTCCCTGATGTTTGTTCATCCACGATCGATCCGGGCTGCTCCGATTCCCACAACCATTCTTTCCGACCCAAGCTGTTTGGGGTCCATGCTAGTGTATTACTTTTAAATAATGGTTAAACAACACACCCATTGGACCGTCTCATGCTGGTCTTCCCTCGAGAGTTTTCAACAAAAAGAAGACGTCCTAACCCCCACCCAATGCGGGTCGAAGACCCCCCACGAGGCTGTGGCGGTGCTGGGCTCCACGCTGGTCTTGTTCTTGGCTTTGCAGGTGCGCCAGCGATGTCGAGGTCGGTCGCTGACTCGCCACGGGGGGGGTCGAGTGAGGCTTCCCACCTGGTGGTTTTTTGGTGGTATTCGTCACATGAAGAGAGCGTGGATCCTATCTGGCACTGACACCATGTGGAGTGTCGGGTGAGTGAAACTTTGAGCAATACTTTGGAATGTGAATAGATCGCGCTTTTTGGTAAGGGAACAGGTTGCAGAACACACTTCAAGCACAAGGCAAACTTGGCAAACTTGTGGATTTTCTGAGAGATGAGTTCCCTCACTTTTCTCAATACCTCACAAAATCTTGTGGATTTCAGACAAAGAAGGCGATCGGGATGTGATGACGTGCAATGTTCTGAGGTCTTTGAAACCAGTTTGCCACCTGTAGTCTATTGTAGTCTCATGTTTTCTTTTTAGAACTGCCTACTCCTTGACAGCTTGGGCTGATGGTATATGAAGCTTTCAGGGGTCTTGTCCTATTGCCACCAGCGCATGCCAATCTATAAAGCAACTCATGTGTGCCCTTTTGTGACCTTGCAAGTGTGTTCTTTGGCGAGCCTGAGAGATTCCACACGGAGACCTGATGGCTTCCGCTGCCCATGAGCATTTGTGGATGGGGATGGAATCGATTGTGTGGTTATGAAACGGGATGCCCAGCGCGTCGGGCCTTTTCAAACTTGAGCCAAAGTAAGACGAAAACACTCGTAGCGCTTGGCTTTCTACGAGGTGTGGTTGTACACTTTTTGATTTGTGCACTTCATGAATCACACTCCCCCTGGCTTGGTTCAAGCCATCAGGGCTAATCATCTGACTCGCTTGAGTCGTCACGAACCCTTGAGGTTCCAGAAAAACCGCGACGCGGCTCCCAAGGGTCATTTGACCTGGGCCTCACTGGCATCTGCGTAGACACCCCCATCCAAGTTGGCGTCTCCCGATCTTGGTCCTCAGCTGGTGGTAGTACAGGATCCGGTCCTCTGTAGATTTCTCGATTCGGGGGTGCCAAGTTGCTTCGCACCACCCTCCACCCCTGAGCGGTCATCTCGTCCAGGGTTGGCGGTTCTTCATCCTCACTGGCCAGAGTTCTCCTCCAGTCAGCTCTTTCTGCACTGCTCGACTCACTCTCCACCGGCCGGTTCTCCACAGGGGATCCCGCATCAACGGTCAAGTCCCGCATGAACGCCAGCCAATCATCCCGTACATCATCCTCCAGTGTGGTTCCATCATGTCCTCCAGGTCCTTGTGCCCAATAGGCAGGGTCATAATCCCACCCTCGATCCATCTCTTCACTCACCAAGGAAAGAATCTCCAGACGTCCTCGATCCTTCAACTTCTCCTCGCTGTTGATGGCCATGAAGCCGCTGCCCATAGCCTCCAATGCCACTGCTACTTGCTCCCTCATTCACCCTTGTGCTGAGTTCCGAACCAGATTCCACCGGGTTCGGGTCCTGTCCTTGACGATCTGGTCGGACATCTCGAGGCACTCCTTCCATCTCTGAACCATGTTCCGCAATGCCCGGCATTGGCGGTGGTCCGGAGGTCAGTGAACCGCTCATCGAGGAAGACGTCCTATCGCCCTGTCCTCTGGTAGTTGATGAACTGGAGGTCGAAGTCAAAGTCCCCGCCGTTGGGTCTGGATGAAGATCCCTGAAGAAGGTATATCCTACCCAGGGGTCCCTCATTGGTGGTTCCGTATCTCTCCTCCATTCATCATCTCTGATCACCTTTTCCCCATGGCACCACAACACGGTGATTCTCCGATCTTGAATGTGGCTACAGTCCATAGGTGTGTGTCGATGAATTGGATGGAATGGTCTCATCCTCTGCTTCACATGATGTCTGACCCACCATCCCCCTGGAAGTCGGTCCCATCGATCTTGACCCCTCGAAGGCATAGTGAACCTCCTCCACATCCAGGGTCGATCGTAGTCCACAACTGGAACCTTTCCAGTAGTCGTCGACGATGTCCCTCCGAGCCCTGTCGACGATCCCTCCCTCAGAGCAGCCAATCGTGCCCTCTTCGAGTTGCCGCCATGGCTCACCTCTACCGCGTAATCCCGGGAGCCCTCAGGGCTAGGTTCACTAATGGGTTCCTCTTCTGACCCATCCTCTCTACTGCAGGTGGGTTCATCTTCCCTCGCCTGATCTTGAAGTCCATATGGTGGATCTGCATATTCATCTCTTATCGGCCCAGTGGCTCTCTTCTTAGAATCACAGCCGGCTCTCCAGCTGGTGGCCAAACTAGCTACCATCGCAGCTACGGCTAGGCTCTGAGCAGCCTTGCCCGTGGAACCTGACGGCCGCCAGGCCATCACGCCCGCCAACCCACCTACCAGAGCTGCAATCCTGGCCACTTTGGACCCTAGGCTCTCAGACACAGCTTCCACCACTGGTTTCATTCCCATGGCCGCGAAGAAGTGCTGCCATCTCGCAGCCACTCCGATCGGCTTCGTCAGGAAGTCAGCCACCAAATGCTGACCTGGGATATGGATCACCTTCCAAGCGCCCCACTTCACCCTCTCCCGCAGTGCATGGGCTCGAAGACGAAGGTGACGTGTCCTCCAAGGTCCATCCGGCGCTTCAAGGATTCGAAGACCAGCTTGGTTGTCTCCCCCCAAACGGCACTCTATTCCTATTCCATCTCCTGTTCCTTCCAGAACATTGGTCAAGGCCGCCAAGGAATCCCCCATGGTCATCGCTTCTGTGTAACCCAGCAGTTCAGCCTCCGCGCTCGACAGCGTGCAAAACGCTTGCTGCCTGGATTCCCATTGGACCGGCTCGCCCCCGTAGGTTCCAATCATGCCCTGACACCCTCTCCCAGAAGGAGGTCCAAACGATGCATCCGAAAGGACGTCCACCCTCATAGTAGGATTGTAGTGTTCTCCAGGGATTGAGGACCGGGCTCGTCCATAGTGAAGCGACCATGCCAAGGTGGTTTTCAAATATCCCAACATCTGACATCCATACTCCAAGACCCGCTTTGGAGCTCGGGTCACCTGTCGTCCCATCCAAGCCACTCCATAGGCCAGATCAGGTCGGCTTCTCACTGACACCCACAGTAGTTCACCTACCACTCCCTGCGCCTTTCTCACATCTTCCAAGGTGACTTCCGCTTCCGGCTCCTCATTGGGCACTCCTGGAAAAGGTACCGTAGCCGGGGTCACCCAAGAATGTCTGCTCAGAAGCTCCTGAATGTATGCTTGCTGCCCCACATAGAGCCCGCTGTCCTCCTCCGCTGAGCTCCATCTCAGTTCAAATCCACTGAACTTCGTCCATCTCTCGCTATTGACCCACTCCGCCGGGCTGCACTTCCACTCCATCTCAATCCTGCTCAATGCTCCCTTCACGATGTCTTTGGCCCCAACCACCATGAAGTCATCCACATAGACCCCAATGAATCCCTTCGGAGGCGGTTCCTCCTGATCCAACGGTCGTCTCTCCACAATCTTCCAAAGGTTGGGTTCTGGCGTCTCCCGAAGCTCCAATGTCCTCCCTTCATGTTGCCATTGAAAGGACCTCATCAGCCGATTTCGATAGGTAGCCCAGTCCGCCGGCGAGGATCGAAGTCCATAGAGGGCGTGTTGAACCCGCCATAGTTCCTGAGGTCCCACAATGCCCGCCTCCACCAAAATGCGTGGCGGTTTCACCACTACCAATCTTCGACTGGAGTCTTCCCTGGGGGCCAGAAGGAAAGCCGTCTTGACATCGCAAGTGGCGATCTCCCAGTTCATAGCTGCCGCCTTTCGTAGAAGACATCGGATGGTTGTTCCGTCAGCTCCGCCGGCATACAGGTTCTGGGCCTCCTCCTTTCCCGAGGTTGCTGCACCACTGCCATCCAGAGCTTCCAGCCGATTACCGCAGACGACAATGCGAGCCCGCTTCTTCCCATGTGGTGCCTTGATGGTCGGAACCAACATCCCCGGCGCCACCTCCATCACCTCATACAATGGATCTTGCTCCAACTCTTCCATGGTCGTCGGGCTCAATGCCCTAGTACCTTCAATCAAGGACTGGTACTCATCAGTCATCGGAGGCACCCACGCTGCAAGCTCCTGTCGGACTCGTTGAAGGGGAACGGCATAGGTTTGCAACACCGCCGGTGGAGGAGCTCCCGGATCCTGTAACTCCAAACCTGCTTCATTCTTCACCGCAGCCAACCTCACCGCCTCCAGCTTACGATGTTGGTCCTCCAAATGATCCTCTTGTACCAACAGTCCAGCTTCCAATGCAGCCATCCATCGCCCTCTCTGTCTGCCCTGCTCTTCTCCAATGGGCTGATGGCGCAACTCCTCACTCCATAACCTCTTCATCAGCAAGTGCGACCTCACCTCCATGGCGTGCCACTCCTCAGCTTGATCCCAAGAACAACTCGAGCCCTTCCATAGACCTCCAGTCCGACGTTCTCGGTAGTCGTCCACATACTCCAAGTTGCCACCACAGAACCCACAGGAAATCTGCGTCGCCTCCACCAAGTCCAGCGTCCCTTCCACCGCCGCTTGCATGGAGCTCATCACCACCCCGCAGCCGCGAATGTCCCTTGGATCCTCAGTCGGGACTTGGTGGGGATGCCGGGGTTGAAGGAGTCCACAATCTCCACAACACACCATCGCCAGCTCCCCAAGGCATTCCCAAGCTCTCCACCCCGACTGCTCTCCTTCCGACTCCGGAACTTCCCGCTTCCTTAGGGGGGTCAGTGCGGCGGGCTTTGTTACTTGGATCGGTGGTTTCCTGACTGTAGGCTCCATCTCATCGACCACCTCCTCGACATCCTCCTCATCGTCCACAAACTCCAGACCCCCACCACTGAAGTCCCGCTCCAACTCCTCCAGGTAGTTCCTCAGCGGCCCGGAGACCTCCAACTCCACGCCGACCACCTCTTCTTCTCCATCTCCCCCGACCCTTGGCTCCATTGAGTGATCGGTGGAGTTCATCATGTCATTCCCAACCTCTCCAGGTTGCCATACCGACAGCGAGTTCAATGGTGTAGATTCCGGATTTTCCAAA